ATGACGGCGCTAGGCTATCGCGCCAGTCTGATCGACTCACCGTTTTCGGCTTTCAACAAGATCCATTTGACGGTACATAAAGGATTTCAGCAGTCATGTCCCTCCCTAAAGTTATTTGATCACGATTCTTCAGATTGGTGGTTTGAACAGCGAAGCAGACGTGAATCGCATTGAATCGCACGTGATCTCGAAAACGGGCGTGGAAGGCTGTAACGTTTCTCTTGCTACGTCTCTAGCCACAGTCGAGTTCTCCCCCTCAGTCATCGGTCCGAGGGATCTGATTTCTCTAATTGAGGTTAGTCATTTGGATTGCGGTCTAAGATTGGTCCTTTCCGAGAAGTGTAAAATTTTGAAAAAATCAGTTTCCTAATCGTAAGGTATTTGTGTAGGATGAATTGCAATGCCCTTTGGTTATGGTAGTGCGCTGTTGGTTAATGCTGGGGTTTGGTTTCTTTCAATCTCTGTTACTGAGCAATTACCCTCAAGAGTGTATCCCCCATCGTCAAAAATACTCCAAAACAGTTCTTTTTAATTCCTTCCAACTTTGTGACCAAGCTTTCGAATCTGTATAGGATCAGAAGTTCTGGTTCCCGAGGAATATGTCTTAATGGTGGCATGTACCCAGATTAGCAACATACCGCGATTTTTAGAACTCAAGTTTCCAAACCACCAACCTTCGTGAGTAAACCAGGATGATTCCGGGGACAGTCTTGAAAAAGAAACTCAGTTCCTCTTTCTAGCCCCCGTGAACGAGTGTCAGTTCAGATCTCTTATTGACAAAAGTAGCATAAGTACTCTAGTCAATGCATCTAAATGATCAGCATTGTGCCTCCTGTGCAGACTTTACCTTAGAAAACCACTTTCATGTTTTTCCATAAGTAAGTTGAATATTCGCACGGGCTATGACCAGAGTCAACAATCCATTGGGCCGGTTGAGCTTGGATTCTGTTGGTGTTTTCGAAATGGATCACAGTTGTGATTTTTGACGAGTCTCAGGAAGTCTTGTGATGATGGAAGTGTGAGATCGTGTTTTATGTGGAGAAGGAATAGAGGATTGATTTTGTAGTTTTTATGGAGAGTGCATGAAAGTGGGAAAGGACGAGATTTCAGAATTTTTCATACAAACATTCATAGTAAGGAGGGTCAACCCAGGCTTGGTGTTTAGACAGCCGTAGGAGGGAGGGTTTCGCAAAAATTTCTGAACCGCTTCAAAAGACAGTTGACCCTGACTACGATCATCATGGGGTTGGGCCTACGGTGGGCCGGGATGGGATCAGTTCATATCTTTGGCCGAGAAGGGGCCGTCCAATGTGCCGGACCACCAGAAGTCTTTGAATTTCCGCGCGGGTGGATTTCATCCTGTGTTACATCGAGTCGCTAGGCTCTTCTTGGAAAAAGAGCGCGTCCCAATATCGGGGCGCAATAACATCAATAGGCTAACCCATGCCAAGTGGCCTTTATTGGTCACGAAATTCATTAGATGCAGTACTACTAATGAAAAGAATTTCTAATCAAATCCAGTTCTGTTTTGGGAAGTGAACCTGGATATACGTTCAAAGCACTTTACCGCCTCACAGATTTATTGTCCACTGTTGTATGTGCTGGCAGTGATTTTGCATCCCTGAGCAGGTCCTTGGAGGGTCCATTCGCCTAGACTGTTTCAGAATTGATGGATCGGAGTTAAAATTGTATGAATTTCAGAGTGATGCCTTGCGTCCGCGTTATTCTTTTTGCCAAGGATTTTTGCTTTTGTTGTACTTTAGTCTAATATTTCAGTCTCTTGGCTACACGGCAGAGCTCGCAAGTAAAGATGATCAGATGAAGCGCCTGGATCATTCTGCAGAAGTGCGAAAGTGTGACGGATTTCTTATTAATTAGTAGTTTAACAGTTTGGAGCTGTGTGCATGATTTCTTGGTAGAAGGGCCGGCATCGTATGACCAATAGCAGCAGAGGTGGAGTTGACAACAGTGCTATTTTGATATGGGAACCGGTACATGCCACAGCGAGAGACTCGTGTTGCTTTAAAGGACGAATTCACGATGAAAAAGCAACCCATTTCAAATTAACCTAGGGATGGTGAGTGGTACACGAAAGAAGGAAGAACCATGAGAAACGGCCCAGAACCCGAGAAATGGGACCCCTTCCTTGCCCGTTGATTTGAGCATTGATGACTCTCATCGCTGTGCCCTCTTCAACACTACGCTCTCTCAGCTATCTAATCACTCGCCGTATTGTAATACGGCGCTCTCTCAGCTATCTAATCACTCGCCACGTATTGAACTACGGCGAGTGATCAGATGATCGGTGGGCGGAGATCGCCGGACCCGCCAGCTTTGAGGCATGATAGGTCGCCGAGGTCAAATTTTTCCATGCGAATTGCGCGTCAGTTCGCACCCTCAGGAGGTCCGTGGGTCCCTCAACTAGGTCAGTTTCCCTTTCTTCGACCTTCATTCTAATCGTGAATTCCTCCTTTAAAGTTTCTTTTAAAAGATTGTGATACTTAGCGTTAGCCGTTTCAGATGGCCAGGTACTTGTCCTACACCTGACTTTGTGTTCCTCATCCCTAAAAAAGTTATGCAGTTACCTGGCTGAGTCATCCGAAATCATTCTGTTTTAACCAGGGAATGTCTTGAAATTTCCATGGAACTTTGATTCAGGTACATCGATAGAGTCTTGAACGCTGATACAAATATGGACACTAAAACTGCTATAAGAACTTTGTAAGAAAGTTGTGAGCCTAAAAGTTGCAAAAGAACGCTAATGATGAGGTGTGGGAACACGGTTGCTTTTTGCCTGGAACTTGTTCTATAAGGGTAAATGGGTGCCCTGATTACGAATATGAGACTCGTTTTTGGCGCAGAGCCACGGCGACTGTGATTCCACCAGGTAAGCTCGCCTCAGTAACGTTTTTTGCCAACTTTGAAGGCTCATAACTTTCTTAGGAAGTTCACGTAGCAGTTTTAGTCCATATTTGTAATCAGCGTTCAAGACTCTATCGGAACATCTAGGTCTCCTTCCAAAGTTCCATGGGAAGTTCAAAGCATTTCCGGTCCAAGTTCAGAGCATTTCCGGTTCAAGTTCAAAGCGTCTCACGGTCACGATAGCGAACTTGGAATTACAGTAGCACCACTTCTCCTCCTTTTTAATGATGTCGACCTTTCCCTTAGCAGCAATAGATGCTAGTTTTGTGCCGAATTTTACCCTTGTAATGATCCTGGGGTCCAATTAGGAAAGGGGAAGCATGCTGTACAACACTTTATCGCCTCAAGTTATCCAATTTTTCACTAGGGAAGGATGTTCTGAAGTGGATGTAAAAGTGGAAACGAAGTGGCTCGCGCACCCTGGGGGTTCCCTTCGCCTTCGAAAAGTAGGATTGCAATTGGCGGCGGCAACTGTCATACCGCATGCTTTCCCTGCTGGATGGAGTCCTGGTCCTGATTTCCTAATATGTCTTGCTTGCATCTTCGTCAGTCAGATTTTGTTTTCGATTATCGGGTTTGGTAGCCCTTTTACCCGTATATAGCAATTTTCCCTTCATCCCTCTATCCGAAGGAGCAGTGTCATGAACACCCCTCCCTCTGGTTAGATATTTTCACACACTGTGCCCTGGTCTGCTGAGTAGTCATGTACACAGCTATATAGTCGATTCGATCACATTCTGCATATTTGTTTTCTGTTTTAGATGGCGTACGACATTTCTAGTCAGCTTAATATTTGGAGTGCCAGTGATGATGATAATGATTGTATTCCATTGGATTTTGCACACACCGATGCATCCAGAAAATCAATCTCCATACTTCAGCTGTCTTTTACCTACGACATCTCCTTTTCTAGCTGTTGTGCACAACAGTACAAGGTCGGTTCGTTGCGCAGAGTGCGTGCTTTCCTAAAGTTTCACGGGATGTAAGGGGGTCCAGATCCGAAAGGGTTGAAATCTTATACCCTTCTTGTCAATTTTTTGTACGTCTCGTCTTGTAGGTGATCGGAGGACGATATTTCTACGTGGCCTCCTGGAAAGCGCTGAGACATGGCCAGGCGAACATGGACGTGCTCATCGTGTTGGCTACGACGATCGCTTTTACGTACTCGATACTTGTTCTTATTATTGCTTTGATTCTGAGGTAACATGATGCTGTAAAATGCTTGCTATCAGTTGGCAACGGGTGATAATTAAGGTGGCCATCGAGTCCGAGATGACGTTCTTCGATGTCCCTCCTATGCTTATTGTGTTCATTTCCTTAGGACGTATGTTGGAGCACAAGGCAAAGGTAAACGCAACAAGCGAAAGCTATCAACTTTGTCGTCAAATGTGCCTGGTTCAGGAAAAAGATCGGAGCTTAAGTCGTTGATGTCTACTCAGAAGGAAGCCCCTTATAACAATGGACCTCGCGAAGGTCGTGTCACCTCTGAGAGGGGAATTAATATCGAACTGGTAATTAGTTTCACTTTACGACAACGCCCGAATGCATTTCGATTTGCGTTCCATGATTTAGGTTCAACGTAACGATTTGATCAAGGTGATACCAGGTGCAAAAGTGCCGGTCGACGGAATAGTGGTGGATGGACAGAGTTCAGCGGATGAGTCCTTTATCACAGGAGAATCCATGCCGGTTGTTAAAAAGCCAGGTGAGTATCGTAATAA